CCTTTCTCTCCTTTCTCTCCTTTCTCTCCTTTCTCTCCTTTCTCTCCCTCTCTCCCTCCCTCCCCCTCTCTCTCTCTCTCTCTCTCTCTCTCGCTCTCGCGCTCGCTCTCGCTCTCGCTCTCGCTCTCCCTCTCCCTCTCTCTCTCCCTCTCCCTCTCCCTCTCCCTCTCCCTCCCCCTCTCCCTCACCATCTTCATCTCTATCTCTATCTCTATCCATCCATCCATGTATGTCTATCCATCTGTCACCCATCTATCTATCTATCTATCCATCTGTCATCCGTCTATCTATCTATCTGTCTATCTATCTATCTTTCTTATCCATCCATCCATCCATCCAACCATCCATCCATCCATCCAATCTATCTATCTATCTTATCTATCTATCTATCTATCATCTATCTATCTATCTATCCATCTGTCATCCGTCTATCTATCTATCTATCTGTCTATCTATCTATCTTTCTTATCCATCCATCCATCCATCCATCCATCCAACCATCCATCCATCCATCCATCTATCTATCTATCTATCTTATCTATCTATCTATCTATCTGTCTGTCTGTCTATCTATCTATCTATCTATCAGCCTTTCAGCATCGAATGGCCATGCCCGGCCACGCTCCACGGTCGCTGCCATGACTTGGCTTCACTTTTTTGGAATCCGCGCCTTGCTCCTCCTGGTTTGGTTACACGCTGGACCTTTGGACAGGTGACTGCCCTATGTTGCGGGCTGTTCCTTGCTGCCCGGTCCTAATTCCGGGTCCGTTCCTGAGCATCTTGGCGAGTTCAACACATTTTGTTGGAACGGAAAAGGGAAAGGTTGGATAGTGGCCCAGCACTATCCTGAAAGGGGAAATCAAAATGCGATGTTCCACCGGCATCACCCTGAACTTCTGGGCGGAGGGCTTGTAGGACCCCACGGGATCACCAAACAAAAACGAAGCCGGAAGCTTGTGTACAAACGATTGGCACAACATGGCGTTGCTCTCTACGGGGGGCAAACTTTGATGAAGACACCCAACTGGTCTGCGCAACCTATGAGCTTGAGAGATCCAACTCCATCTCCGTACTGGCTATGTCAAAGGATTGGAATGACGGTGATAACCTGGAACAACATGGTCCTTCCACCTACATCATTCACTCAATTCATGCAGTGGCTCACACTGCAGGTGGATGATGTGATATTCCTGGACTTTCATCCGTTCTTGGTTAGTGACTTCTCAGACCCTCGTTCTCAGCTTGGATCAGCTCCTGCCGATTCTAGTGACATGGGATCTACAGCATTGCTCGAGGATATCACTGTCATGATGCAACTTCCCTGGCAGAGTGCGTTTGAGATGGAAGAGTTACTCAATCCTGAACTCCATGAAATGCTGCATGCTACCAGGGGCTTGGAGAATGTTGCCCATCCACCTATGCTGCAGATTGACAATCGCAATAGTCATGGGCCTGATCTTTTGCGCACCTACCTTGCTGCGAATGTTGATATAGGATCACGATCCTTCTTCACGGTTTACACCTGGGGTATTCAACATCAGGTTTCGTCGATGGCTCGAGTAGGTGTCATGCAGATTGGTCGATCCTATATGATTTCGCTGCTTCGGTTGTGGCAAAACCTTGAAGATAAGCAACCTCTGTTTCTGACTTTGGCCACTCCACAGCCTGCTCCTTTCACTCTCAGAGTACCCCCTGTTGACCTCATCATATTGACAAAACAGCAGCGACGAGAGGAAAGGGTTTTTCTGGTTGACGTCTTATTTTCGACACTTCCCAAGAGGATGGCCATTGTGTATCATCCTGGAGATCTTCTGCGGGACTTGGTGCTGAAGGCAGGCTTGGGCGAGTTTTGCTTCAACACGAGAGTCAAGTGCGTGTTGGTACAGTCCCAAGGGGAAACTCAATCCCGGTGGGAGTATACGCAGCAAATTCCTAGGCCACATGGCTCGACCTTCGAGATGATTTTTGAAGCTATCTCACCAGATGAGACCTGTGCTGCAGACACGAGGGCGCAATCCCCTGCCAGGAACCTTGAAGGTGATGAAGACACCACCATGTTGATGCAGTTAAGCGGAGATAACACTGCAACTCCGAATGATGGATCTGGGTTGGAGCAAGGTCGAGGAAGGACATCCATCCAAGCCTTCCTGCGTGCCTGTTGGCTCCGATCTTTTTGGGGGCCTCCGCTAATCCTGAACCATGAGCTGGTGGCTACAGCATGGGTATGGCGCAGAGAAGACATTGTCCGTGGACACTTCCAACGACAAGGCTTTCAGGGAGACAGGCTTGCTCTCCAAGGATGGCTGTTCACGAGCAATGAACAAGAGGTTGGAAGAGAGTTCTCGTGGGGACTTCAGCCTCCTGAGAATTGGTCCCAACAACTCGAACATCTGCTGAGGGGAGCTGGATTGCTGCATTCAGCAGGTTTTTCAGTGTTGCCTCAACGGTTGTCCTTCCCCTCGGTCGAGCAGAACATTGATGTGAGACTTGTCTTCTTGCCTGGAGATTACTTCCAAAGCAGCAGTCTCGCGTTGGTTGTAACCCTGTCCTTTGATCGAACTGCGGGTCTACGAGCTGTCCGATGCGAAATTCCATGCACACCATTGATGCTGTTCCATCAGCTTGGACAGATGGCATTCTGTGGTTTATGGACACTGTGCCAAGTTCATTTCAGGCATGGGGATTGCCGGAAAAGCTTTACAAACACTGAAATGATATTATTGCCGGTTGCATCTCTGGTTGATCTGGATTTCAAGCCCAGCAATATCAAAATTGATCAGTGTGACAGGTTGAAGAGCGTTGTGCTCGAAATGTTGCGGATCACTTGATGGAGGCGGTTCCACGCAATCCCTATGTCCATGGCTTGAGACCTCAACATCCTGCTCACAGGAGCAACAGAGATGCCCGTGCGGAACCAGATGACTCTGTGGCACTCATGCAGAAACCTATGAATTTTGGCCCTCTTTGAATAGGGAAGGGACCGATTCATCAGCAGTGGCCTGGGTGTGACATCAACTTCAATACCATTTCGAGAGATCTTCAAAAATATGATACAGAGAAACAATGGTGGGATATGATCTCCCTCATGCAAACCTCAGGTGCGTCGCATGGTTTTGGAGAGAACGCTGCAACTCCACACGGCGCACAAATTCAAAAATCATCCGGATCCACAACCAGTACAGAGAAGGGAACTCTTTGGGAGCTTTGACCCTGATCTGATCTTCATTGAAGCCCCACCTCATCCACCGTCACTTTCTGACGATCCGATCCTGTATGGAAGTACCTGACACGCAAAGAATTTGAAGTCAAAGTCCGTGCTGTCCATATCTGGATACCTAGGTACCTTCATGAACCAGTATGGGTACCATATATGCTACTGGTGGATGACAGGCCACTTGTAAGTGAAATCTGGTGGAAGTGCAGAGATGATGCTCATGACTCTGTTGGGCTGACCTTAGAAACTGTCAATGACCTTGTTTCCAGAGATCGGGCTGTACCAAACCTGCTTGGGGCCACTCGAGATCAGCTTCGTCTGGGATACAGAGCATACACACCATCCCGCAGAAGCAGGCTTGGCTTTTCACGGGGCGAGAGTTGGCTTGTGATGTGATTGCTCGTACTGGTTATGGAAACAGATGTTTGAGGCGGCCTTGTTACCTGATACGCTCTCAACATGGGATCCACGAAGTCTGGACTTACTATGACAAGGTTGCTGAACCACACGGGTCAAGCTTCCTCATCAGCCACACCAGAGAACCTGAGCGCTTTCCAGTGGGGGAGGAACAACTTGCCCAGGAACAAAATGTTGATCCCCTTTCTGCACTATTGCTCCTGCAGACGGAGGTGGTGGTCGATATCCCCTTTGACACTGACCAGGTGAGCATGTATCAATTCCTGCAAAGGTCGCATGCTGATTGAGGAGGAGGAGATCCACATTGAAGATCGGGCACTTATTACCCTTCAGGAGGAAACTGAATGGTTCATCATGGCCAGAAGGGCAATGAGGCACACTATCTTTCCGAGCTTTCAAGGTCTTGGGGCCTCATGAGACTGGAGCAAGGCTATTTCCCACCGATTTTGCTGTTTGGCGCAGACATCCGTCTTCCGAGATCAGTTCGCTTCCTCCACCACGAATTTGTCCTCGATCCAGTAATCTGATGTGGAAGTTGAGAAGATTCCTTGATCCGGACGTGCCTCTTCGAGCACGTGCAAGATTTATTGCAGTCACACCAACCCCGACTTCTGACCAACAAATGGATAGAGGGGCAGTTTGTGTGCTTGTGGGAGTGCAAGTTGCCTTCTCCACCAAAATGGTGCTTGTTGCGGCGATGGGGGTGAGACAGGGAATAGCACCAGTGCCCGTATCACGACGGACATGCTGTTTTGCAGATTGGCCCTCTATGAATTCTGCAATTCTGCGGTGCTTCGCTGTGAAGTATCTCACCAACAACATGAATTACCCACTCTGGTGGCTTGGCAAGTTCTGGAGGGTATGCGAATTGACATTCAGGTTATCGAGCTTGGACTCCAAGGTGATTATGACAAGCTGAGACGACTGCAGCCACAAGGCCAATCAGTCTGGAACCGATTCATACGCTCCTCCCTGAACCTTCAAGGACATGTACCACTTGTCATACAACAAGACACCACTGAGGACGAACATATGCTGTTACAGACTTCAGTATCTGGAGTGGTACGGCCTGGAGTGGTCATACCAAATGCTGGATCATGGAATCTTCGACAGCCACAAAATCAAGAATGTGGAGAGATTGAAGATATGGCCCTCATGCAACTTGCAGGACCTCATCAATCCTATGGTGGATCATTGCGAGAAAATGAGAGGGATGATGAAGCACCCCCTTCTAAGTTGAGCTCGAGGACAATGATTGTTTCAGCACAAGTGATGGGCCCCCTATGCATGGACCGTTTCGCAATCTGGACTATGATTGGTTACAGACCTGGAGCAATGTCCGAAGATGTCTGACGGAGTACGACAACAATTTTCCACTACGAATCCAGCCTGATACTGTCTTTGTCCATATACTGGGCTACCGACGTGAGAACCAGTGGAGTGTCCAAATTGGCTGTTGACGAGCTCCAGACCGGTCTGTCTTCTGGCTGATTGGTTCCAAGAGATGACATTTCAATTGTATTGGGAGTATAGTCGCGCATTTCCTCTGCAGGAGGAAGTCTATCAGAACACCCCCTCTATTCTGGTCATTCAGGAGCTTATCCAGGGCCAAATACCCATTGTCATTCAGATTCGAACAACCGGACGAATTGAGCATTTTGTTTACATGGCTTTTCGATTTGAGCGAGTTGCCGGAATGCTCAACTGGGCTGAACACCAAACTCGCATTGATCGGCCTTATGAAGCCTTCTTGGATAGGAGGAGAGTCTTCGGTCATCAAGATGTTCCTCTTCGTCCCGGCAGTGTCTTGCAACTTCGGCTGCATAGCAGTATGGAGATGTTGTTTCCGCACGATTCGACGACTTGGACCAACAGTATACAAACTGGAGACACTGATGATACATGGGAAGCTCTACCCTTGGCTGAAGACATGGACATGCCACTGCCGGATGGAGAGCAAAATGAGGATGAGCACACCTTGGAACCTAGGAGGACACTCCAGAACCTTCATGGGGAAAATGAGCAGGTGGGATTGCTACAAAAGGGCATCTGGAAGCAACAACGAAAGCCACCATGTTCAAGAAGTGACAACACTGCAACACTTCCTGGTGGACATAGAGTCACCATTATTGAAGATGCACATATTGATGAATATCCTACCGGGCCTGGAACCTTAGATCATCATCAGGGATGTGATGCAGGACGTTGTCTCCAGCATGTGCCTTTGCAGCTACACCACGGAAGAATGGTTGAGCTCACTCTCCATGTGGATTCACTCCACTACCACGGGCGGTTGCAGGACCCATTGAGCACAGCCTCTGAGTTTGGTAGATCTGAAAAGGAGCGGAATGCCAACATGGGTCTTGAGGCTTGTCTGAACTCCACCAACTGAGTACTCTGAATTGATTTGTAGCCCTCTCCTAAGGAGATTGAGCTCAATCATATGAGTCATGATCAAATGTGAAAGTATGAAGTGACTGCGCTGGTCACGTGGAGGTTTTACTGTCTGAGCCCTCTCCTGAGGAGATTGAGCTAGACCCTCCGCTTTGATGTTGCTCCCAACTCCGATCGACTCCCTGCTGTGGTCACCTGTATATAGCTGGAATCACCAATCATGTACACGCAAGCTTTGTCCTTCCATGATGCTGCCATAGCGGCTTTTGGCATCAGTGTGACTTTTTGTTTTTGTTTACAGTTGTGGCCGTTGGCCGGTTGTAGAGCACTGCGGTGTGGCAAGATTGATCACAGTATCAACCGAGGTAACATACCTTGAGCCCCGCTTTCTTGAGACTACTCGAGAGCGCACGAAACGGAAACTGAAACTATCTATCTATCTATCTATCTATCTATCTTATCTATCCATCCATCTATCTATCGTATCTATACATCCATCTATCTATCTATCTATCTATCTATGCAAAGGTCCAGATGCATGGGGACACTCGGACGACAAGGCAAATATTTGACCCAACAGTTCAAATAGGTGTGTATGCTGTGTCTGGGGGGGCGCAGAGTCCATTTGGGTGTCCCTGCAACGGTCATCCACTGACCAAGGCACATCATCATAGCCCGGCTTGTCGTGGATAGTGGTCCACATCACCGGAAAGCCCGGGTTCACAGCCATGCTCCAGCGTGGGCTGCTCTGGTGCAGATACCTCTCAAGGGCCCGATGTCTCTTGGCTAAAGCTATATATATAATATTGATGGAAAATATCTGGCACCCTCACACCCTCAAACATCGCGTAATGTATGATATGTTTTGATATTTTTTGATATCATTCAGATATCCCCCTTCACCGGGCTGGTTTTTTCCTCCACCCCCCACCTCTGTTGAAGGCAGGGCCCAAAGCCATGCGCCCACGCAGGCGCTGCCTTCCGTGCGGCTCGGCGGGTGCAGGCAAGCATCGTGGCCGGTCGCTACAGAGGAGTCTTTGAGCCAGGCCTCGTGATGTCGAGCGTGGCCGCAATGAGACATTGACCAAACTCAGTTATAAAATGCTCATCAAAGACTTCTACACGTGGGCACCACCTCAGCAGAAAGTCAAAAAATTCACTGGAGGCTTTCCTGGTGATGCTTTTCAAGGTCCTCCTCAGCATCAAACAGCCACCTGGAGGAGATGTGGGCAAGGATGTCAAGCAGCTCTGAAGAGGGAAGGGGTTACGATACCCTGATTGTGATACTAAAATCGGTACCAAAGTAAATCGCTCTAAAGATGAATGGGACCCCGTGACGCCGCTCCTTTCCATGTTGGGGAGCGCTATGGTATACCCTCCCTAGAGCGGGCTATGTATGCATATAAAAAATGATGACAGTACCAAGCGCCCCTGGTGCATCCGCAACAATTAAAAAGAGAGAGTCTAAGAATCCGCTGGTGTTCGGCCTTCACAAAACGACGTGCATCTTAGCATCTTTGAAAAGATGAAACGACGTTCGCCCCCCTTTTGAAGACCTCTTTTTGGACTCCATCGGCTTTTGACTCTCTTGGAGCCCCCAACGGTACCAACTCCTCCCATTCAATCTCGAAGCTCGAGGACAGCTGCCTGGCCCCAAACGAATCTGGTGACTGACCGGCTTGGCTCAACAATCTGGAGATTTCCGGAGATGTCATCCTCTGGCCATCCAGCAACTGCTTGGGGGTGCATTGTCGACCCCTTCACCAACTGCGACACGCCTGTTCCCGATCTTGGTATAGTCCGCGCCCTCCCTGAGGGCCGGCAATGATCAAGCAGGACTTGTGCAGGACTTCTGCTGACATCCATGGTAACATTACCTTCGCTTCACCGCTCTCACAAGCAATTCCCTGCTGCAGGGGACACCCCACTGTGACCGCATGTGACCGCCTCATAGTCAGGACCAGCAGGCGGGCTCTTCTTCAAGAATTAAAACTTCAGTATCAGGTCAATACCTACTCTGTCACCAGCCCCTGAACAAACAAAGCTCAAAGAAGTAAGGACACCTTTGAAGAACCTTGGGTTAGGAGTGCCTTGGCTCAGAAACTAGCCCGTCATGGAGCAGCTGTTGGACAGCTTGACGGTTTGGCTGTTACGTTAGGTGCACACCAATCGCTACTATTATTGCTTTACAGAAGAGATCTGACTAGCGATCTTCAGCCTTCCCACCCAGCCCCAAGATTCCCAAGCACCCAGGCGGCTGGAAGGGTGCCGGGAACTTGTGGTTAGCCACTTCCTGAAGCGGAGGCCCCGTTCCTGTGGCGGCCCATTTCCTAACTTCAAACATGTTTATCGAAAGATCCCACGGCCCTTTGGGTCAAGAGAACGCGTACTGCAGGACGGGCACATCTTTTCAATACCCAGCGTTTTGGGGTAGGCTCTTTGTGGCCTGACAAATCACTTGGAAAGCCCGTCCTCTAACTCTAGCCGAAGCTCCAGCAAAAAATCCCACGCAGAGGCTTCAAAAGGAATCGTTGTGTAATGGTAAGGATCTATCATCTGTCATGTATAGCCGCATGATACGGTCCGAACACCGCGATCTTCACCTTACCAAAAGCTCCTTACGCATATGTTTGTCTCCCTGCAAGAGGCAGATCAATCCCGTGCGCAGAAGTCACACAGCAACGCCTCCCAGTCTAAGTCCGCAAAGAAGGGAAGCTCCGAGAGATTACCTCGCTGCCAGCAGACGCTAATGGTGTTGGACCCATGGAATCATCCAATTACTGTATATATATATATAGCATCCAACAGCGGGGACGTCCGGCGGGGCCCATTTTACACCCGTGTGTCACGTTTCGATCGGCCACAGGCACCATCATCGTGTGTTGTCAGACACCATATCCCTGGGACAAGACACTGTCATGTCTACACAAGAAATGTCTGATGATTCTCATATCGAATGGATAGAAATGGATACCCACGACCCCTCAGGCAACTGTGCCAAGCCACTCAAGCCGCCCCGCTGCATCACAATCCGATCCTGCTAGAACGCGAGACGCGGCGTGAGACGGGGCAAAGTCGGGAAAAGAGACCACTGGTTCGTTTGAAGACTGCGCGGCTGGAAAAGGTGGTACAGTAAATATAAAGAGCATGCACCCTGGAAGTCGAAGACTGCCAAACGAACGAGTCTTTCTTTAAGGGAACCTTTACTTCAGAACAGTATGGCCTTTCGACGAACTTGTGTAATTCGTGTATATTCAAAAGTGAAGTTTGGAGGATTATGCGCGGGATGCAACTGACATTAACTGACTCACCTTTCTGGAACGGAAGTTGTTCCGGTTCCCTCGCGAAGTGTGTCGCGAGGAAGGGGGTCCTCGGGCTTCTTGCGGCATAGGGAGCGGACCACCTCTTCCGCCTGGTTGCAATCTCTTTCCGAATTGATGGGCCATGAGAGAAGTAAATGTGCCAAAATAGGTGCCGTAAGATCTGAACGGTCTTTGGATTCACTGGGGCCTTCGCCACCGCTTCTGCCTAATGGCCTAATGCCTGTGCCGTGGTGGAAGTGTGCTGAACTTTTACCATCGTTTACATCCGTATCAAGAACCGCAAGCTTGTCACATGCGGTACTGCGCTCAGGCTCCTTTAGCCATCCCAGCTCATTTGTGGAACATTGACCTGATCATCTCATCTCCAGGCCTTGAAGAACTTCTGCCAACCCATCGCTTAGCTACGCCAAAAAAAGAAGCGCAAAAAATGTTCGCGTGAAATTTGACAACGAAAAGCCCTTGATGATATCGCAGTCCCACCTGCGCCAACTTTGGTTTCGGTTTCACCCTGCATGGTGCTTTCCGTTGTTCATAGTCTTTCTTTTCGGGCTTATGTAGGGGGAGGAGTGTATATACCAAAGGATAAAAAACCGCGTACTGCACTCTGCCAATTCGATGAGCGTGGAGGCCCGCGGAGGGCCCGCGGAGGGTCCGCGGAGGGCCCGCGGAGGTGGAAAATCGCCGCCTCTGAGGTGAAAACCGCCGGGAATTGAATCTTGGACAGGCCTCAGTTTGGCACACCAGGCACATGGTTTTGACAGGTCCTTGAAAGGATGAGCAATGCATGGTGTTTGGCTCTTCCCATTTGACCATCTTAAAGCAAGTAGTGCCTGAGCATCGTCGCTTCCAACCCCCCTGGAATCACCTGGAAATAGAAGTAAATGCAAACCACTGAACCCCCCATAGATCTGACAAGCCAGCTGAGGTCATTTTGAGACAGACTCACTCACTCTTCCATGGGAGCTCACCGGTCCTGTCCCTGGGGACGGCGCCCTTGATAATATTCTTGTAGATTTGCGTCACCTTCCATCACTCGGCTAGCTTGGGATAATGTCTGGAATCCAAAGAAGGACACCAAACCGATTGGAATTCGGCCAGTAAGGTGCAGAATCCTACAACCTACAACCGTCTACAACCCTTGTCTGGAGGTGGTGGCAGCGGCGGAGTCTCGCCAGATGTTCCTGGATCAGCTGGCGCCGACAGCGCTCGTTCCGCTCCGAGCAGCTGGTGGGCAGAATCGACGACCGTCGTCTTGGAGGAGTCCAAATCATAAAGCAACACCAAATCCTTTGATGATCTTCTATCATTCATGATGCCCCTTAGCCTACCTAGTAGCTGACTGCAACAACCGTGCAACACTGGGATGCACAAAATAGAACACTGCAATGAGCCATGTTCACTCTCCCGGGTAGTGCAGGATTCTTTCATGAACCAGACACGTCACCATGTTCATCTGTTTTGGCCCCTCTCCACGACCTGCCTCCGGCGCATCAAAAGGGCTGTAGCCGGCAATCATGATGAAGAGCATGATGCCAAGAGCCTCAAAAATATCCCCTTTGCTCCGTTCGTAGCGTCCCTGCTCCTAGTAGTACGGCCAGGAGCCCCTAGTAGCTTCTTGCTCCTAGTAGCGATGCCCTTGTTACTAACATGAGGCTTCAAGCCATCAAAGCAAATACACCTTGAGAGCCCGACCCACCAGTCTGCTGCACGGTTGTGACCAACCTGGCAGATCTGGACGTTGGTTTGGCCACAGCATGCGACCTTTGGTCGCCACATTCCTCTGCTACTAATCTGCTAAGCTAATTTGCGTTGGCGTCTCCAATTCCAGTAGCTAGGGCATCGCTACTAGTAGCATCTTGCTATTGTATATATAGTAGTAATGCACTTGCTACTACTAGCGTTTCCCCGTTGTGTTCATCTGCTCCACGGCCCTGTCTAAGGTGTCTGTGAAAGTCTGTTTGCTGCAGTCTGTAGTCGGAGCATGTAGATTAGATGACGCTGTGGCTGTGGCTGTCTAAGGAACGCTGTAGCACTGTAGTGTAGTAGTGGAGCTATCTGAAGTACATATGTCGCGTGTGTTTGTGGACTTAGGGCTTCATGTTTGTGGATTAGGGTTTTGGCGTTTGTGGATTAGGGGGTGAGCTTTGTGTGTGTGTGTGCCTCCAGCATGGAAACAGGTTTTCCAGATACAGTATCTGCGTGAGAATTCAACAGAACTTCCAAGAAATTTGATCTGCAGTCTCTACAAAGATGCATCGAAACACCGAGCTAGCAGCTAGATCCAAACAGAGAATAGTGATAAGTTGCTTCAAGCCAATCTGCACAGCGTTCCAAAAAAATGTACAGTACAAAAGGATGTCCAACACGTTTATGTGCCCATCCGCCTGCTTCAACGTCTCAGGAGCAA